AGCACACACTTCCAACATTTCCCAAGCATGGCTTCATCATGAAATTTCGGACTTCATTACGAAGGACCAATGGCCTCCCAGCTCCCCTGACCTGAACCCTCTGGATTTTTCTATTTGGTCCATTTTGGAGACAAGAGTTGGGGCTAGTGCCCACCGCAACATCGAAGCCCTTAAGAAGTCTTTGGTCCGAGAATGGAAGAATATTCCACAGCATCAGCTGCGTGCTGCAGTACGCGCTTTCCGCCCTCGATTGAAGGCTTGTATTTCCAAACGTGGCGGAAATTTCGAGTAGCTATGGTTCCTAACATTGACTGACACTTTGTACTAAATAAATTTTCACTTGAAGTTGTCGTTCTTGTTGCTTTGGTTGTTTTTGGCAAAGAAACGTTTGTAACAGAACTTCTTACGCACCCTGTATAACACACGTAGGAATATGTTGAGAAATGAGTAAATACCCTAATCCTATTACCAAAGACAAGAAACATTCTCACTTCTTCAGAATGGGATGTTGGTACTTGTCAGACAAAATCCTTAAGATTGCCAAAATCTTCTGGATCACCCCTGAGCTAAGCTGGAGGGAGATAGAAACAGCAAGAAACATCATTCCCTGATGAAAATTAGGATGCACAAGAAGTGGTTAAAGTGCAGCATTATGCATAGATATGGAATACTAGTATCTCTCAAAACCAGCCGTGACCATGAAGCTGTGGCATTTCACAACGCTCACATGCATCCAAGCATGAATTTTTACTTCATGCAGTACCACCAGAAAGTTTGAAGCAGGTGGGAAAATTTCACAAGTCTTGAAAAAAAAATTAAAAATAACAAACAAAAAAACAATTTTGACTAATAAAAACCATGATTAATCATTTACATTTCATTTGGATAGAGTGTTACATTTTTTTGGTCTTCTTGTTGAAAAAATAATCATTTTTGCAATCTGCCTCAAACTTTCTGGCAGTACTGTGTGTGTACATACTGCCCCCCCCTGCCACTTTATAAAAATGTTAAAGCTTTTACTTGAATAATGAAAATTCACAGATCTGTCCATTTATTCATGGATCACTATTAGTATTTTTCAGAAGAAAAAATTTATTCCCCCATGGATTGGATGAAAAACTTTTGCCTTGTGCAGCTGGGCTATTTCCATTGGACTTTTCAGTGATGTTTATCAAATCTTTCAGACTACACCTGTTATCAGCTGACAACAGAGACATGAGAGTGCTAAACCAGTTTTATAGTTCTCATTTCACATAGCACTTTAAAATAAATAGGGTGCCATATGTTGTGGTTATTTCCAGAGCTTCAGCCATATAGGCATAAATAACACACTTGCTCAGATACTTCTCCATCCCTGGTTAGTTAGAAAACATATTCAGCTAATGGCCAAAAATACATTAATGTGGGGAATTCCCCATAACTTCCCAGGGCTGATTATCATCACTCTTTCCCATTTAACACATTTTCAAGAAGTTTTTAAATTTGCAAATGAATATTCAAGACAAAGAATTTGTATGAAAGCAGATGTGAGATGACCAGAAAACACAACAGACCTTTCCTATCCCTTTGTCCCACTTCTGTCTACTCTTGAATGACATTACCAGCACCTCTATAGAACCCCTTTAAACCCTCTATACAAGTTCATCAGGTTATAGAATAGTTATATCATTAACCTGTGCATTCCACAACTTGACCATGGTGTCCAAGATTGGAGAAATGGCATCTCCCAGGTGGGCAGATTGGGAGTCTTGAACATCAGGACTCAAACTGGAGAGGAGGAACTCCAGACCATGCAAGGTTGCAAGACACTTATTCTCATTGTATGTGGATTTTCCATCATCTTCCCCTTTTCTGAACAGCATAAGAGAAAACCTCAATACAATGACATGTCATAGATTATGGAGATTGTGCACAGATGAGAGATTAATTATTGTTGAACTGATGCAAGATATATTAGGGGTGTACTGCCAGAAGTAATGCCAACTTTCCAGAGTAAGGAGTCATTGATGCCTATAAATCTAATTCAAATACACATTATTTTACTCATGAAAATGTTTCACATTGAAGTGGCAATATATTGGTTTTACTGAGATACCCAAATAAATCCAGACTTGTCAATAAATGCCAAAACAACATTTCAGAAGTAACTACTTCTAACAGTAATCTCTTGATATTATACCTTTTCTCTAAAATAGGCTCTCTGGGAAAGTAATGCGCTCTTCTGCACATGGTCCCATAGAAGAATAATGCTGATGCTATCAGCCATCAATATCTTGCTCTTACCTCAGAAAAGTCTTCTAACTGCAATGCTTTAAGATTATTATCATAACATTAAAAATAACCAGAAATAATTTGACCTATGATTATGTCCAAGTATGGGAAGTCATATTTCCCATATCCTGGAAGAGAGAAAACTTCCTAAAATCACTCACTTTTTTGATGCATGAATTTCTAGCTGTCTGCAGCATGATTGCAACATGTCAGTGACATCTAGAAGAGTAAGGTTCCTTTTTCTTGACCAGGAAGTCAAGTGCATTAAGGCTGGCACAGAATTGAAGGCTTCCTTCATATTTGAAACATTTTGGCTGCTAATTTCCAATATCCCACTGGCTCCTATGAATAAAAAGCACAACCTTTCCTTGAAGGAATCAGAATCCATGGTTGGAATGTACTTCACTCATTATTTTCTCACCAAGTTTCCATTTCTTCCTCTCTGCATGTAACTTTCCATCTGTCTGAACCTCAGCTTCATTTGTAATTACAGCTTTTAATTGGCATCCTTCAAAATCTCTCCTGAAACATAAACATAAACCAAAAGTTCAAGGAAATAAATTATTTCTATTTTTACATTTGGAAAGTAGCTAAAATTAACTCACACTGTAGGAAAATCTGACTTCTTCTTGCTTGGTCTAGTCATCTTTGGAGAAGAAATAGGCTGAGCCCCAAGAAGTACGCCTCCTGAATGCTCCAATCGCCTACATCTCTCAATGGCCTCTTTTGTCTCATGATTCTATTAGGTTTAATAGAACAACCATGAATGCTAAAATGCTCTAAAGAAATAAAAACATGAAGCAACCTTAAACACTATATTTCAACTGACCTTCAGTTCCAGTTCTGTTTTGATTTGATCCAGCTCCCTTTGCAAAGCCTTCTTCTCTTCTTCAAATTGTCGAGACTGAGATTCCAACTGGTGTATCTTCCCAAGACGTTCCTGTTCAAGATTTCTCTGCACCTTCTTTAATTCTCCTCTGAGAAAGGTCAACTCTCCTTGCCTAGCATAGTTTTCCTCTTTCAGACAATCTACCTGTTTCCTAATGCTTTCTTCAGGACCTCCTGTTCGAGGTTGATGAGGAAAGCTGCTTGGCTTGGTTAATGGGGAATAATTTGTGAACACCTGTGGACCAGTCCTTCCAGGTACTTTGGACTCCAAGTGTTTCCTTGGAGATGATGCTGATGGCTTTTTGCTGAATACTGTAGGCTTTGAAATTGAAAGAGAGGAAGATCCACTTGCCATAGGAACCTTTACTGATTTGGTCACAAGTAACTGATTCATGGAAGAGGCATGAACCAATCTACCTGTCTTACCCAAGTGCAGCATGGTGTCTTGGGGTAAGACAGGCACCTTGATGTCATTTTCACTTTTTGTCTTGGAGAATCTCCCAGTCCAAGTCTCTTTCTTGGAGTTCTGAAGGTCAGCATGGTGCTCATTCTTCTCTTGGGGCTGATCAGTTACCTGGGTATAAACCTGACTTGCAAGAAGCAAGCTTTGTTCAATCTCATCTTCAGGTAGCTCTTCACCCCAGACATCTTCACCAATGGCATCAACTCGGCGCACCAATACATCATTTGAGTCTTCATCCTCTCCACTACTTAATCTGGGCCTCTTGCTGGGATTTCCAGAAAACTCCTCATTGATTTCATTGNACTTAATCTGGGCCTCTTGCTGGGATTTCCAGAAAACTCCTCATTGATTTCATTGTTTTTTTCCTGCCGTGGGGAACTTCTATGGCTGAGGGTCAGAGGGGCAAACCTATACCCATGGCGCTTCATCCCTGTTGTAAAAAATTCATAATAAAGGATGTAGGCATGGGGTTATAATCCTATTCTTATTAGTAAGGGATGTTTATCTACTTGCACTCTAGCTATGGCTGCATATCTATGTAATATTTCAATCCAATTCATTAGGATATAAGATATTAAATCATAAAATTGGTAATTAGAGATGTAGATTGAGCAATACTTAAGGTTCTGTCATTTATGACAGATATCAGGACACTGAAAAACACAGTTATAAGGCTTTCAGACTCAGCCCAATATTTAATGATAAAGGAGGATTCAAGGGAGAGACTATGCAAAGGAAAAGTCATTTGCTAATAGACTGCTTGAATACAACTGAAACAGTATTTAATCTCTCATTCACACCAACTGCACAGCAAGGCATAAAGGAGTTACAGTGGAAAAATAAATATATTCTACACACATTCAGTTCTGCATGCAGTCATGGCTGAAGGTTCATGTTATGGGTAGTTCCAAGGAAGAGGCATGTGTCAACATTTAGATGGCCTTGACTTGAAGTGTATCCCTCTTGAATCCCTCTTAAAATCTTTACCAAGCCTTGAATCCTAAAGATTGAGTATGCAGAGTATACAGTAGCATGGTTGAATACAGGGACCAGTGTGAGGTCTAGAGATAGAAGCAACTCATCAGGATGGAACATTGTGTTAAGAGAGCAAGTAAATGTAAAATTGTATGCAAGGTCAGGCAAGATTACTGCTAGTATGTGCACCATGTCATAGCTGGCATTTTTCTCAAAGTCCATAATTCCAAATTAAAAAATTTTTTTATTTGTGCATTTTGGAACATGAAAATGTAAAATGTCACACTTCTATTCATATGAGCCTCATAACTCAAATGATGATATGATACTATGTAACATCACCATGTTGTCCTTACTCAACTTCATGAAATACAGGGTGCAGGCAGAGCACTTTTGCATAGGGAACAAAAGACTACCATTGATATGGTGGGGTCTAGAGAGAAGGCCTAAGTCTACCTATCATAAGTCATGTGAACTTAATGCCTAACACTCCTGATTGTTCAATCTCATCCCAACCTCAATCTGCCAGACAGTAATTTACAGGTAGGCCTTATGGGGTGGGATGGATGGGTGATTGACAGCCCATGGACAACACTTGGCCTCTAAAATTTACAACCAGCCTGTGGGAGGTCCTGCATCCAAGACAGAAAAACAAAAAGGCCCATGAGAACATTTAACACTTTCAAGTTTGAAATGTTTTCCTTTGACTCCAGCACTCATGCATGGGAGCTGTCACAGATGGATGTGTGAATCATGGATATTATGTTCACATGATTTGCCATGTAGTTCTAATGAGTTAGTGGTGTTGCCATAGTATTCCAATGTGGAGCTTACAATTTTGTCATGTCTACCAACACTCCATTAAATTTACATACCATCAAGAAAAATATTTTCTGCTTATTCTCTTCTTTCTGCTTGATTCCTTTTATTCCATTTGCATGCAGCTGGATAGATCCGGGTCCAAGGCTTAACATAGGATGTAAAATTTATGTTCACTGATTACACTATTTTAAAAAATTTAATTCAAATACGGCAACATATGAATTTCCTTGTCCTTCTGGCGAAGTAACATGGTCTACATGTTAGATCTTTGTACTTAGCACGCATCTTCTTAAGGCGCCAAATATCCAAGGTCGTTTAACCTATTGACTTGGGCAATCATAAATTCACTAATTTTCAGATGAATTCATATCAACTTTGACGGGGTTTGTACAGTTCAGTCACTTCTTCCAAATTACATATCTCCTCGCCGTTTTGCATGCATCGTGACAAAAGTGGAACGAACTGATTTGCAAATCACTATAAACAACTTTAACGTTACGCCGAACAACATGGAATAGAGGACCACATGAGTGATGCGGGCATGTGGGAAGCCATAGTGGATGCGCCGCGCAGCCAAAACTCATTGGATCAGAGTCCATGTGTTAGAAATCCCCTCACTGCCTTCTACCGCAGAGATATGCTCAAAGTAGCTTAACCAATGACGTAGCCAACGTATCGCCAAAGGGGGGGCCAAGAGAAACAGGTGGGGGGGGGGGGGGGGGGGGGGGGGGGGGGGGGGGGGGGGGGCATGGCCCTTTCCACCCCATACCCTTATGGGGTAGGACAGGGATCTCACCCAGTTGGAGCTCGAAACAGAAAGGAAAATCATATTTTTCATTTCTTTCGTGAAGCAGCATTTTGTTTTCAATTTTCCATGTGCTATACTTTTGTTGAAATTTTGCCATTCTTGGGGGGCGTTGCCCCCTCAATAATATAGTTGGGGGGGGCACGTGCCCCATTGCCCCCCTTTGTTTGGCGCCTATGATTTAGACCAGAGTTGGAGGACAAATACCAAACTTAGGGAGGGGGGGGGGCTTCAGCCTTCCCTCACTAAGCCCCTGTGCTTAGTATACGACTTTATGCACGATCCAAGCCGAAAAAAGCAGGCTACGGAAGGTAAATGTAAAGGCCATCCACGCTGCCTCGCCCCATTGACTCCGAAACGAGAGGCGTTTTGGGAAACAGGCGCTCCCAAAGATGACGTTGCGATTTGAGAAAAACCTTTCAACACAATCAATAAAAGAGGGACTACGAACGGGTAGAACCCCAACACAACTCAACAATAAAAATATGACAATTATATTCAATCATCTGTTACTTATACGATGGGGTAACAGGATGTTGTGAACACCCTTTATATGCACTACCACCCTCTCTATTTATTTAAATTTGGGGGAACTGTAACTGAATTTTAGGCTTCATCCTGCATTTAACTGTCAATGAGAGCTCGCAAGTTATTCTTCTATGCATGGTATCGGTAAAACTAATTTAGAGCATTGTCCTCAACTTCGGAGGCCTGCAAATAATTGATTACATTGAAAATGGTTAAGATGTTAGTAGCCATTCAGGCGAGTCATCCAGGCATTTAACATCTGATTCGATGGCGTGCAGCGTACAAGGTTTTTCTAATTCGATTGTTACCACAGAATGAGTGAGAACCAGTTCAAGTTCTGTAGGCCTCAAGCGAGACTCGAGCTGCTCACCTGACCAGCAATGAACGAACGGAAAATGCAGTCCCTGTCCCTTCCGGGAAGAATAAAACAAGAAAGGGGAGCAATCAAGCTGTAACTAGGGAGATGATTAACACGATCTCATCAAAATCATTTTTCTTTAGAGGGGTGGGCCTATATAAGGCAGGTGGGAGGGGTTGTGATGAGCACTCGACCGAGACTCGCTATGTCAATATGAGCAGAAATGCCTCTTGGCGTCCCGACCCAAATCGTTGAGTTCCGCTAGGGACGGTTTCCACCACCAGTTAGCGCTCATGCTGGTACTGAGAGTCTCTTGCTGGAGTGGACGTGCGTGGTTCGTCGATAGATTGGATGAACTTGCTCTGTTCTTGGCTGGTAAAAAGGTTACGAATCTCACATTGCAAACCTCAAAGGATGCCGTCTTTCCCATCGAGAGAAACTCGAATGGATGCGCGGAGATCAATTTCGCGGAGGAACTCCGAGATCATTATGAGGAAGTGCTGTTTGTGCCCTACTTTTTTTTTACTTGCGGTTTGAGAATTATGCACGTGAGAGAGGATAATGTATTTATATTGATTTCAATGGGCTGAAGATACTGAGTCAGGTCACGATTCCCAAGGCTCATTGCGTCGTGTTAATTACTTGGGGTGAGATCTTGAACTACTTTTTAACTCCTGACGGACACCTAGGTAAGGGTACTAAAAGTCCGTTACCAGCTAAGAGACAGTCTAAGAATCCAAGTTGAGCGTTTGACTCCTGACTTTCCCGAAGTTCGGGAATTTAGGCTTCTACTTCCCGCTCAACTCTTACCTTTCTCATTCCTAATTTGCCCACATTCTGGAGACTCTTTTCGACTTCCTGCATTTGTTTGCAACAATATAGAAGTGGCTTTGCTCCTTCGTCTGCGAAGGTCATTGCACAGAGCAAGAAGCCATGGATAGTCAAATGTAGTTGGGTTAAGGTCAATTCCATTAACTTCTTCAGACCCGACAGCAAAATTGCATGCCAATTTGAAATCCTTCGGTTCGTTGCCTAAGGTCAACTTTCAATGGGCAAAGCAAGGAAGCCAATATTTGTATCATTCTTGGTATTGGAGGAATAGAGTGGCATTTGTACATACCACCGAGTTTTCCTCCACAGAGGTGCGCGATTGACAACCTGCACTATTTGACGGTGGGTAGGAATAACGTCGAAAAGAATAGTGCCGAAACGGAATTATCTCGACAGGATTTTCTCATGTCGAGATACTTCTGTGTCGACGTTGTTCCTGTCGAAGTCATTCCGTCTTTCGCCGGTGTCGAAGCAGTTCCGTGTCGATGCTATTCTTTTCGATGTTATTCCGCGACATCTATTTGACAGTAAAAGATTATTATGGAAGTCATTAATCATGGATCATATTCGAAAATGTCTCTCTGCCCTGTCACTGTCACTGCGCCAACAATAGTAGTAACTTGACTGCATTTCGAAATTACCGAAGCACTGCGGTATCTCGCACTCACCACCCAAATCGCTATGGAGTGGTCATGAATCCCCTGAACCCTCCGTACTGTATTTCTCACTTTCTCAAGTACCCAGTATGCGAACAGAACCACAAGAAATGGTTTCCTTGGATGGTAATGAAGCGGGAGGCACAGCCTGCGAATATGTCCTTGAAACGATCACGAGTGGTGGCCCTCCCCCTCCCCACCTCCCTCCCCCTCCTCTTCCCCCTCCCCCGGATTCGCCACTGTGCACTCTTTCGCCACTCTTTCTGATCTTCCTCTTCGTTTTCGCCAGCCTGGTGCTGGAAGGGCTCGAACACATCTCAGGTGCCAACATGATGCCATTGTATCCAAACTGATGAAGTTCCGTGTAATTGGACCCTGAAACGCCAATATACTGGCGCAATGCCTCGTGGCATGCGTACATGCCACCTATATTTTGATTCATCCCATTAGAGCTCTATAACAAGTCAGACATCCCTTTATTTCTAAATAGTTTCCCACACTACTTGACAATGCAGTTCAACGTACATCCCAGTTATGAGGTCTATAATGAGCAATCGACAAGTGCTTTTATGGTGGGTGACGATGCGGGCGACCATATTCACAGAAGTACCAAATTCACAAGCCCCTGCTGCGATGCAGACTGAGTCTAATGAGGCCCGTCTATTTTTTTTTTCGGGAGCTCTCCTGAACCCTGATATGGATTGCAGAGAGATTCAAGACGTAGGAGCTATATCATCAGGGGTTTCAACATTTTGATATTTGGCATGTGTACATGCCACAGGGTCTGAAGAGGTTAATGACAATGCATGAGATCGTTGAAATTACCCTTGCCTCTCCGCAATGCACTGCAGAATATTTATTATTCTCTCCGTACTCATTCTGCACGCATGAGAACTTCTTTCCTCGGGGTGAGCTACGTGTGGTCGACGGACGGGGCTGGTAGTACTAAACATGCGAACGGGCACTTGAGTACTTGAACGGTGAAATGCCTTATTGTTGCAAAAAAAAAGAAGAGAAATAACCCCTTTTTAAGGGTTCGTAATGGCCGATACGGAATCAATCGAGCAATGCAAGAACTCCTTTCGGGACCGAGTTTCGCACAGATTCTGTTAGTTCTAATCTATAACTTTATATACAACGCAAAGTAGTCGAAATATGGAGCAAGGAAAAAAAAAAGAATATGAGAGGATATTTCAGCACAGCCGAGCGAATGTGACAGCATCAGCGAAATATCAAGGGACAGCCAAAGCTTCGCTTGTCTTAGCAGCCTCTTGTCTCGCGGCCTCTGCCGATCAAAGGCGACGACCTGAGGCAAAGAAATCGTTCGTGGCCGTTGGGGCTCCAATCGCATTCCAACCTCGTTCCTACCTGCTCCATCCAGCAAGGAGCAGAATCTAGCTCTGACAAGATCCACCCGTCTGGCTTCAACCAGCACTTGGACTCGTTTGGGCCTCTCGCCTCCAACCGGTTTACGAAGCGGGACCCTGGCCTGGTGCATGGTAGCAGTCGCAAATTCTGGAACACGATCTCCTCCCGTCTCTCTCCGGAGTTCTCTGTAGAGTATGTAGTGCTTCCTACTACGTCAGTTCACGTCACGGGAAAACCCGGATGTTGAGCGGCCAGCAGATTGTTAGGATTTTATTCATAGAAAAGAAAATGTTTACGAAAGTCCGGAGAAAGGGGTTTGACCAGCCACAGCCAGAGTGAGAAGGGGGATTGGGGGGGGGAATGTTCTCAAGTGATGACGTCAACGAGCCGTTCCACAAGGAAAGCAGTCAAAGCTACTCGCCGATGTCATATCCCAAGGATAGACTGGACGCATGCAACAAGAGCCGCTCGAGCGTGGAAATGGAGTTAAGCGACCGATCATGCAGAAGG